ACTCACTTGGTAGCCCAGGCTGGCCTCGAACTCTCAGAGATCCACCTGGCTCTGCCTCCCGAGTGCTGGGATTAAAGGCGTGCGCCACCACTGTTGTTGTTTTAACAACCCTTTAAAAAAGATAGGGGCTGGAGAGACGGCTCAATGGTTAGGCACGTACGCTGTTCTTGCAGAAGACCTGCATTCTGTTGCCAGCATCCACGATGGATGGCTTAGAACAACCGGTAACTGCAGGTCCAGAGGGATGGTGCCTCTGGCCACCACAGACCACTGCACTCACATGCACACACCCTCCCGACACACAACTGAAAATCAATAAAAAGAAAAAAGTTTTAATTAATATAAAAATGAGTCTTAGCACTAGGCTAGTACAGAAAGACCTTTGGCCTGAGGGCTATAGTTCACCAACTGCTGATAAAAAGCTCATGCTGATGTTGCAAAATGCAAATGTAATAAAATGGATCTAGTTAAGAAACGTTGCCCTCTCTTACCTGTCTCCCGTTAATATTTACTGAATGGTTGTTATATGTAAAATAGTTACAAGGATTTTCATACACAGTAACTCATTTGGCTCTCGCTGTGACCTGAGTTGATGGATGCTGTGGTTGGTACTCTTTTATAATGGGGAAACTGAGGTACAGAAAGGTTAAAGACCTTCCTCAAGGTCCTATGGCCAGTAGCAGTTCAGCCCCAGAGCCTGAGCAGTCTGCACTGACGGAGGGCAGGCAGCTGCCCAGGAACCACTAGAAACTCCGGGATAAGTCGCTTCTAGAGCATTCTCCTTGACCTGGAGGGGCCTGGACGACACCTCCAGGGTTCAGTCAGGCACCACAGGGGGAAGCCTGGGTGTTTTCCCCTCATGCCATTACAATGGAGGGTGCGCCCAGACTGCAGAGGCATCTTGATTTGAAAAAAAGCACTTGATTGGATCTCATTAAATTTTAATCATAAACTGAATTCAAAATAAATTGAAACCTGGATGACAGAGCACAAACAAAGGGCAGTGATAAATGGAGATGCAGCTGGGAAGGGGACAGCTTCCAGGGGACATCTCTGAGGCAAGGACGGACGGGATTTAATGAAGGTGTTGTGTCCCTGGAAGAAGACAAATAGGAGAGCAAGGAGCGGAGGAAGGGCAGATTGAGTAATTAATAAATGCCCTAGCAGCTCCTAAATATTCAAGACGCGCTGATCACCAACTGATTGGATCGGGGTTTGGTCTTGTGGAGCCCAGCCTGGCCTTGAAATCCTGATCCTCCGGCCTCCACCTCCTAAATGCTGAGATTACAGGCACTCACCACTATATACAGGCTAGATATGTTTTTAAATATGTATGTGTGTATGTTGGTTTGTGTGTGGGGTACATGTGTGTGTGCTTGTGGAGGCCAAGGTGAAAATCAGGCGTCTCCCTCAGTTGCAGGGTCCGACACCATGTACCTTCTTCGGTTACTCTCCACCTTATGTAAGGAGGCAAGATCTCTCCCGCCTCAACTTCGTGGGTAGTATGGCTGGCCACCTGACTGGGGATTCTCTGTCTCTGTCCCCAGAACACTGGGATTCTAGGCGGGCAGCCACACCCCTTGGCTTTTACGTGGGTTCTGGGGATCTGACTCCAGTCCTGAATTTCTTTTGTTATTTTTTTTTTTTTAAATACTGTTTGGGTTACTGATAGGGTTGAAAAGTCCTAGAGATATATAGCATGAATATTTCAGGTGGCCATAATAAACAAATATATATATTTGTAGTTGAGAGGATTCTGAAATCCAATTTGGATCAGACACTTACAATTACAGATTCTCGAGGTATTTTTTACTCTCTAGGGAATAATTTAAAGTTTCTTTTTACATTTTTTGTGTGTGTGTGTGTGGTGTTGCCATGGCACCCATGCACGGGTCAGAAGACAATTGGGCAGGAGTCTCTTCTCCCTTTTCCACCTTGTCGATCGATCCCAGGGATCAAACCCAGGCTGTCGGCTTGGTGGCAAGCACCTTTACGAGCTGAGTCATCTTGCCGGCCCCGAAAGAGTAATTTTTTTTTTTTTTAGTGCCTCTAAAAATCACAGATCTTTAGAAATGTCTGTAAACTCATGAATGTCTTTGTCTACTGCCAAAATGTATGCAAATTACCAGAAGGTTGGCTTGGTCAGTGGAAGCTGGGTTTGGGGTGAACCGGTCAGCTCCGATTCAAACTCCAGTGAGCAAACACTTCCAAGCTTACTTGCAGAATTTCCCTGAGAGAGAAGTTATTCCATTAGGTTTTGCCAGAGGCTCTGAGGCGGTGTGAGCTGTGGAGACAAGGGGGCACTTGCTGGACTTTGCACAGGAAGACGCACATCAAGCTGAGGGCAGTCATTATGCTCTGCTCTGACTTGCGGAAGTGGCCTTGGGACTCCAGTGCTGAGCTGCGTGGGGTGGAGGGAGACTTCTGGGAACAGACTGCCTACCACATCGAGAGCTGCTCATAAAAACATTTAGAGAAACAACCTCAGGCCAGCTCGGGAGCTTTTGTTGCCATTGTTTGCTCTGTCTGTTTGGTTTTTTTGTGCTTGCTTCACATAAGGTGGTCTTTCTAAAGCTCCTACGCGTGATTCCTAATTCAGTTCAGGTCACAGAATGAAGAGGAAGGGGCGGGAAGGATGAGAAGGGAAGGGCTATTGCCATGGGAGAAGGACCTTGTAATCCACACGGATTACAGGTGCAGGGAGGGTCAATGGGATCGTCACAGGACAAAGGCAGGAATGGCAGGGCGGGCCAGTGCCCAGGACGTCTAGGCAGACAACTCTGGAAAAGTTCCGAGATGCAAGTGGGACCTGTTTCCCCTTGGAGAGGAAAGGAGGGGTGTGGAAGGCTGGGCACAGGAGCCAAGTTTCCTTCGCCACTCACGGAGTTGCCAAGACCCCGTGTAGACTAGGTCAGCTGGGCACGAGAGGAGGACAGGCTGGGTGACGGCCTCCCACCCATCCACTAGCTTGATCTCCGCGGTGTCATCAGGGAATCAAGCCAAAGTGGCCGCATGCTGAGGATGCCACCTGCATGACAGCCCACCCGTCCTCCCCTGGTTTCTGGCCCTTCGTCTCCAAGAAGGTCTACGTGTGCGCACCTGCATGCACACATGTACATCAGCGGAGTGAGCAGAGCTCTGAGGTTGGAGCACACGTGGGCTCCAGGAGGCATGCTGGGTAGGAGACGAGGACTGTCCGAGAGGGAGAAGAAACCCTGTGTTTCGTGAACTAGAAATATCTGGGTGACAAAGCATTGAGGAGAAACAGGAGAGGCCTTGGGGGACAGCTTCTAGATTCCAACCATCAGCTGCTTCTTGTGGAGAGCCAGCTGGACTGTTTTGATAAGGAAATAGGATCAAACAGTAGGGGTCATCTAGTTGGCTGGGAAGGGACCTGGAGCTGGGCTGTGCCTCCGTCTGTGCCCTTTCCTATAGCAGTTGCCTGCAGTTCACATATATACGTTTTTAAAGGTTAATCTAAAACTGCCTGCAGCAGAAAACGATTTGAATTCAGGATCTATCTGAGATTTCCATTCTGCAACGTGTAAAACATTGATTTAATTTAGACAAACCACTTTACCATCATCTATCTCACTGAATGCCTGCTAAACGATGCCTGGAAATATGACTTTCCCCTCTTCTTTTAATTTTCAGTGTATTTGAAAGTCACTAATGCCTTCTTCCTTGGAGGTGCGGGCTTGAACACTTTATCTTGGTACCTCTGAGAATCCCTGAGTGAGGAGGCTTTCCCTCCAGCATCCTGTCCAGACTCCTGCTTAGCCAGCCCCGCGCAGGGAACACATCAGAAGGGCTGCATCACTCATCTCCTCACCCTTGTGGAGTGACCCGGAAGAGCAGCACCAGGTTAAGAAGGGCTGTGGTGGAGCCCTGACCCATCAAAGCCAGGCGGGCAGTCACACAGAGCTGCTGCCCTGGTTTAGAAGATAACGCTTCAGATTTAAAATAAGAATCAGGAACTCGCCACAAGCAAAATATGTTGGAAGTCTGGTACCCTTATTCCAGAATACAGAGAACCATCTAAAAACACCACAGGGCCTATGCTGGAGCCTTATACCCTACAGAGAGTTTAGCAATACCCAAAGCCTCAAATCTGCCATCCTCTCAGCCAAAACCCGTTGGGACTCCTACAGACAGTCATTTCTCAAAAGAAACAGTGATAATTTTTTAAAAGCAGTGGTTTGGAAAAGGTTAAGGACCTGGTGGATCTGCCATCTAATAGTGACTCTAATCATGGTCACCAGCCTTACATGGTGTTAGGATGTGTCTCTCTGGTCCCTTTCCCCTCCCATTAAAGGCCCACACACTGACTGCTGGAGCCATGAGTGCCTTCCTGCTCCAGCTCCTGGCCTCTGAAGCCGGATCCGCTGCCAACCCTGGAGCCGGCCTTGACTCTCAGCAAACACATGGGACACGCGCTAAATTCGAGAAATCCCATTTCCCCCTCTGTGGTTAAAGCCAAAAATGATGGCTGGATTCAGGGCAGCCCCCCTGCAGAGGCGCAGCTGACACCCCCACCCCCCAGCCCACCACAAGCTGCGGGGCCCTGCCAGCTGCTCTACCTTCGGCCTGGAAAGCAGATGAGGGGAACGAAAAACTTTTTAAAAGTTTATGTGCAAGGAGCCTGAGTACCTCTGCGTGTTTGATGGCATGCCAGGTTCTGGGGGCTGGAAAAAAAAAAAAGGAAGAAGCAAAGGCCTTCCTAATGGACTAGTAGCAGAGGTAAAATTTATATGTGTAATAATCAGTAAACAAAACATGTCTTCGAAGACCACCCATTGCGGTACCCTTCTGGGACTGCCCTGGCCTTGTTTGGTTAGAAAGGAATTTAGACATAATCATGTTAGTGTACACACACACACACACACACACACACACACACACACCACAGATGAAGAAATCCA